CAAACAATTATGTGTTTCCCTGTACTTCAGCTGACATGATTTTCTCTAACCAGTAGTTAAGAACTGAGCAGCACAAACCGAATCCTAATATTTTAATTCCTCATTAATCAAACTCTGACAAATGATCAGGTACAGTGTGAATTTATAACTTAATTTATAATTAAATTATAATCACCCAAGTGATTGATGATAGCAGTTCTGCTAAAATTCCAGTCATTTCATTAGATCATTATTTGACAATGGCTAGGTGATTGAGTTTGCAATGTGCAAAACCTTGTAGTAAGGTCTTTATGTTGATTATCTCATTTAAACTTCACAATAACCTTATTACCCACATACAACTCTTACTCCATTTTAGAGGTGAGTAAACGAAGGCTATGAGAGGTAGTGTAATGGTCCTAAATTCAACACTACTCATGGTGGGAGCCTGGACTTGAAAGCAGGCCATTTGATTCCAGAGTCTGTGTTCTTGACCTCTAGCTTATACTACCCATATCAATATTTTAGGTAGAATGACAATGCACACACTTCCACCAGAACCTCATTATACAAACACTGGTATAGGGGGAATAAGATCATCAGAATGTTACAGGATGTAGGAAGATTCAAAATAGGCCCATAGTTGTTAGAAATACAAAGGTCAAACTATTATACTTGGCCAGTCTACCTAAAGATTAGTGGTTTCCTCTTAGGTATGAGTGAGATAGGTCCAAGTTCTGTGCTTGTGCCCCTGATCACTCTTCAGCTTTCTCTGTGCTTCAAAGTTGTGGGTATGAATGAAGAGGGGTCAGCAAGGAGACAGAAGGCATCGGTTTAAGACTGGCTTTGCTCTTTATTAACTTTACACCTCTAACTTTCACTTTTCTTATTCACTAAATGAAGTAAACACATACTCTAGTTGTCTCATGTAGTTATTGAGAAAACACATATTAAATTGCTTTGAGAATGCAACTTTGTATGCAATTATTATTATTATCACTATATATAATGCTATAGTTTAATAGGGTAGTTGAGATTTATCATTTTTCCCCAGTAATTAAATGGAACCAAAGCCTATTTAACTGAAGTTAAAAGGCATTATATATGATATATGTATATATATATATATATATACATACACACACACATATATATACATATATATGTACAATAATTAATAAGGCAGTAAGAAAGCAAAATATAGAACGTCTAAATAGTTATCAGGAACTGTGAATAAATGTAGATAAAGACAACAAATCAATTTGATTTTATCAAAGCTCTGGAAAATTTTTTTTTTAAAGTTTGTTTAAATAGAAAAAACACATAAAACATAAAGGAAACATATGAGTGTAATCTCTTCTGTGGGAAAAGTTTCAGAAGTTAAATGATAAGAATTTCTGCTAGAAGTAAACTTCAGTGCTCCTCTTATACTTGGCCCTTACCTGACTTGTTAAAAGATCTTGTTGATCCTTTCTTTACCATACCACTCACCTTATTTCTTCTTTCCATGTCCAGTGCCATTGCCTGACCATTATTTTTTGTCAGGATTAATCCAAAAGCCTTTTAAATGGTCTCAACTCCTGTTTTCCCTTCTTTACTAGTATATGTATCGAACTTAATGCTACCACAATTGTCTTTATAAAGCAAGGACCGGACACCATCCCTGTATCTATCGAGGCAAGATGTAATAATAAACAACCCTCAAATCTCTGTATTCAGATTAAAACAACATAGGTTTGTATGCCTTGCTCAAATATACATTCATCTCTGGTTAGAAGGGTGCTCTACACATATAGGCAACCACTATCTCAAATATACAAACAAAAGAGAGCTGGAAAAAGCCTTTGGTAGGTCATTAAATGCTCCATCAATTCTAGTAACACTGCCATTCTCAGAAGTAACTACATGACCCTCAAACCAGAAAGAACAGGGAAAGGGTAGTACAAAATGTGCAATTCTACTAAAATGTGCCAGGAAGGGAAGTCATTTTTGGTTATCATTTTCAATGATTACTACACTCTCTTTCATTAAAAAAAAAAAAAATCTTTAGTGGTAGGTCCCTATGAGCTTCCAAATAAAGTCCAATTCATTCAAAGATCTCCTCAACTGGACATAATCAGGCTCGCTATTACAGCCTCCAAAACTCATTTCCAAACATACTCTGTCCAGTCCCTCTGGATGGTCCCATTCCCTGAATAGGAAAAGTACACAGCAGTTGCTCCAGAGGTTCTGTTCTACCAGCCATCATCTGTCTCCAACGATCTGTCTATTGAAATGGCATTCAACCTTCAACTACCATCTTCTCTTTGAAGCATTCTCTGAGTCTACAAATTCATATTACTCACTTCCTCCTTGGCATTCTCATAATAGCTTTTTCTTTATTTAACTTTTGAAGTCTTCCATGCCACACAACATACATGGCACACAACATATTATTTGGGGGAAACATTAGTTAGGTTCTCTAGAATCCTAGTCTTTAGGAAGAGTCACTGTTTATTTTTCGTTTGTATATCTTACAGACCTAGCCTACTATGCTATATACTGTTATATAGTCACAAAAGTTTGTTAAAAAAAACAAAGTTCCACCCTGGCTCAGGGGTTAGAGAGTCAGTCCACACACCCCAGGGTGGCAGGTTTGATTCCCCCTCAAGGGCATGTACCAGGATTGCAGGTTCAATCCCTGGCCCAGTGCGGGAGGCAACCAGTTGATGTGTCTCTCTCATATTTCTCTCTCTTTTTCTCTCTCTCTCTCTCTCTCTCTCTCTCTCTCTCTCTCTCCCCCCCCCTCCCTCTCTCCCTCCCTTCCACTCTCTCTAAAAATCAATGGAAAAAAATATCCTCAGGTGATGATTAACAAAAATATTTTTAAGGAATTCAACCTATGAAAGTTTAAAAATTATAACTAGAAGAATGGAGTATATCTGAATTGCTGAAAATGCAAACCTTAAAAATATTTTCTAAATATTTCTGTAACTCAGAGTTGGTACTTATATTTCTTTTTGAATACTTATAACTTAAAAACCTATAACTTAAAAACCTAGTATGAAATGTTTAAATTAATGAATTTATTCATTGTCCCCCTCAATAAGCACTGACTGGACAGATCAATAATTAAACACATGTGACATGCAATTAAATATGTGGAAAAGACATCAGGTCCTTTGATCTAAGATGAAACAGTATATAAGTAGACAGAGGTCATTATGGGGCTCTACAAGGAACAGATGAGAACCACTCAGCATTACAGGCACAATTGTTTAAAAGTAAAATAATGCATTTAAAATGCTGCCGGGTGCTTGAAAAGATCTTCCACTTCATGAGCTACCTTTAAAAATGATTACTTCAGACTGTCTAACTGTCTACATTCTAATATAGTAGGTGTTTAATAAAGGTATTTTATTTTATAATCACAGACTATTAAATACTATTCTACTCTTATAAATATTTTATAATTTAAAGACAGTAAGCAATTGTTAATCCTGATTATATATAACAGAAAACAAAAATCATCAGTGTCACTCGAGTTAATTTCTACTGAAAACAGGCTTCTCCATCATGCGGTAAATACCTGTACATTTTTTTTTCTCCTTACAAATCAACCAGCAAATATTTAGGATAACCAATCATGGGCAGGCACCATATTACACACTGGGGAGAGGGACAAACAGAGATAAACACAGTCCTTTCCTTGAAAGAAATAAACATAAATTTTTTAATGGGAACACAGATAATAGGCCACCGAATGCTTGATTAACAGTAAATTTAAGTGCAGTAATCTCGCCAAAAGGAAGAGTATGAAGCAGAAGACTGCACACTGCTGGTAATAAGAAAAGATTTCCCCCAGGAGTGATATTTAAGCTGAAACCCAAAGGGTGAATAAGACTTTTCTGGGTTAAAGGAGAGCTTAACAAATGCATGAAATATAAAATCTCTAGTAAGGCTAGGGCATGGAGTAAGGGGAAAGAGCTCGGAGAAGGTTAGAGAACAAAGCAGCCCTCCGGGCATCCAGGGCTATCAAGCCTTTGGATTCTGTCCAAAGGGCGCAGGGAAGCTATTGACGGGTTTTGTGCAGGAGCAGGGGTCTGGCTCGTACGTGCAGAACTCTATGCGTGGGTCTGAGCGAGGCAGGCATTATGTGAAAGAAATAATTCAGGCTTCTTCTCAATATGGAACCTAAACAAAGCATGATATTGTACCAAAGAAAGGGGCTTCCATTGTTAAGTTCAACCATCAGCAAGAAATGAAATACTATGTTTCTTTCTTTAAAAAACACAACACGCACATTCATTTCACCAGCACACATACAGCAATGTATGATTCTGAAGATATCATACATTAGGGGCAAAAAAGGAATTGTATCTTGGGCACATGTAATATAACATTCTAGTCATCGCCCCACATGTGTTTGGTTAGCTGCTAAATGATCCCTGAACAAAGAGTCAGGTCAACAAAGAAGGGTGTCAAAACATCAACAGAGAGAGATCTTGTCAGAGCTTAATTAGGGCTTCCAAATAAGGAAACCAAACTAAGGATCCTATTAGCACTCAAGGAGGCATTCTTGATTTAGAAGAACCAAACTGCAGCCACTTGTCATTAGCTAACAAAAAGAAATGTTTTACCTTAATAATGACCTCCTCCTGGTGGGCTTACGTCCACAAAGACAAGCAACATGAGAAGCATTTCAGAGCCACTGTGTGCTCAGGCACACCTTCTGCAATGTTTCCGAGTTACCCTCCCCGTCACTTTTTAACACTAGAACAGTCTGAACAAGGCATGGCTTCTCTGCTGCGCTTTGACAGAAATTATTCAATAAAACACATGGCCACTTTTAAGAATAAATTTAAAAATTTGCAAGTCGCCGAAACCGGTTTGGCTCAGTGGATAGAGCGTCGGCCTGCGGACTGAAAGGTCCCAGGTTCGATTCCGGTCAAGGGCATGTACCTGGGTTGCGGGCACATCCCCAGTAGGGGGTGTGCAGGAGGCGGCTGATCGATGTTTCTCTCTCATCGATGTTTCTAACTCTCTATCTCTCTCCCTTCCTCTCTGTAAAAAATCAATAAAATATATTAAAAAAAAAAAATTTGCAAGTCACAGGAGGAAATTTTCCACCTAACAATGGGACTAACTCAAGTACCTGACTTGTATATTTCATCTATATCATGATGCTGCCTGCCTGCCTCTATGTTTTGAAGTAGTTCTTTCCTCCTCTTCAAATTACTTCATGGTCAAAGTGCTTTAAAAACTGTAAATGGTCCTACTAGTCAGTAAGAAAAAGTATGCAATGCTGAAAGAGTGTTTGCTGTCCTGTGCAGACTTAGAGACGCTAGCAACAAATAAGCAAAAGAAAATGTTCAAACCCAAATAACATCCACAAGAACATAATTCTGACTAGGAAACTTACAAGGTAGATCAAAACTTAAATTCATCCCAGCAATCAAGCAGCATGTGTCTGATGGTGCACAGGGAATCGGAAATGGTTCTTTTCCCAGGCTGGTGCAAAGGGTGGGGCAAATACTCTAAAGCTATGCAATGGTGGGGGCGGGGGGGAGAGAAAATGTGTTATTTTCTACACATCTAAAATTCATACAGTTTAGTGGCAACATTTAAATGTTTGCTACATACGTACAATCCATATGGCCTAGTGGTAACATTTAAATGCCACTATCTAATCACAGCGATACACAGAGTACCTGATTTTAGAAATCGCAGGTTACGGCCTGACCCAGAGCCGTGTGATCATCATGACTCCAACTCTGACTGGTATTCTGCACCTCAACAAGGTTCTCCAACTGCTCCCATACTTCCACTTCATGGATTTTAAATTAAATATGCACTACATTTGTTCACTGGGCACTGAGGTTAGCCAATGTAAATCTGTTTGAGGAGGTATTCATTCCCAGAAGAACTATTTTAAGATTTGACTTGTTAAAGACACACACACACACACAAACAAAACTCCTTTACCTCAAGGCAGAGAACTAAATGTCAATCTTGTCCTCTGCATGCTCAATACCGAGTGCAGCGTTTGTCACTAGGCATATGGTCGATAACTGGTTGATGAGCTGAATGAATAATAAAAGAGTGGGTGAATGTGTGAATGAATGAATGAATGAATGAGCAGAACACCTTCCTTGGGTCCCTTTTCCCTTGAAGAACTCAGTTAGGCATTTCTTTCTGCATCTTAGGCCTCAGACTGGCTTCAAGAAAGAGAAAAGGTCCTTCCTGCTTTTACTGCCTCACCCACTCTTCTTTCTCATGGGAGAGGCAGGCATTCCAAGATCAGGGAGGTAGCAGTGGATCAGAGAGTGGATAGCTTTCATACTCGAATCTTTGTTAAGCCAGGAGAGATAGTTTCTTTCTCCTGGGAACAAATCCATTTGGCCGCAGGCTTCTAAGAGAAGGGATAATTACATGACTAATATAAGAAATTGTTAAGCTTAAATGATTTCTTTGTTGTAAGTTCCCACTTTGGGAAGCACATTACTTCAGTGCACTAAATGCCTCATTAGTACTTAAGGGTATATTAGATGAATTTTTATTTTAACTTGAAATAGATTTCATTCTCAAAGCAGGAAGTACCTTTTAACTCAAAATTAAATGTGGCAAAGTAAATGCTGACAGAAAAAAATATCAAATTCATCGGAAAATAACTACACTACTACTACTACTAATAATAATGGCAGCAGCTAATATTTATTGAGCTCTTACCATGTGGCGGGCACTGTCCTCACACCCACCCTCCCAGGTGGGTAGGTATCATTATCAGACCCATCCGGAGACAGGGAAACGCTGTCCAAGATTAAACAGCTGGAAGTCAGAGTGAGGTTTCACACCCAGATAGTCTGATTCTAGGACTTGTTCTATGATCCAACTATGGCTTTTCCTATGAAAATACAAAACCTGATTTACTGAAGCAAGAAGGATTTCCAGAGATAAGCAATTACGGCATGGTTTCAATTATGGAATTCTTGAATGGTTCTTTTCAGTGTGTGGTCAATCCCTCAGCCCTGATTCAATTAGCATTTTTTATCAATAATCATTACTAACTGAAGTAATGACATTCGATTATGTCAGTGAATTCTCCCACATTTCAACCAGTGTGGCCTTCACAATTGGGTTTGGGCCCTAGGCCAACCCTACAGGGCCTGAACACAGACCGAGTAGAGATTAGAGAAAGAGAATCAGATTCGAAACCTATTCCAAAGAAAATTCAGAGGAATGCAGAGATAGGAAAATATATACTACAGGGACAAAGCACAAATCAATTTGGCTGGATTTGAAAGGTTTCTGAAGGAGAAGACAAGACAGGTGGGCCCAGGCCAAACTGTGGGAGGCCTACAACCAGCTTCATTAAGGCCTTTGAATTGTTTTCTACAACTGGTGATGAGTCACTGCAGGTTCTCAAACAGGGGATGAGGAACACCAAATGGTATTTCAGCAAAATTAATCTACAAGATTTTAAAAAATGAATTAGAAGAGAAATAGAAAATGGGCAGGAAATACCATAGCCCCTTAGCAATCCGAGACTTAACATTCACAGTTTCCACTTTTCCCAAGTGATCTCCAAATGCTCTCTTTTCTACTTTTTCTAGGGCACCGAGTCTGAGTTACGAGGTCGATTTGTGAAAGCGCGTTGGTAACGACCACTATGCTTCCACTTCTCACTTAGGGAGGTTTTTGTGTGTGTTTTTTGTTTTGTTTTGCCTAAACCAGGGTCCTGTTCTCAGTCATTCTCACTAAGTGATAAAATAGGTTTCTTCTCACAAAGTGCCTCCAAGTAAACCACAAGTGTAGAAATAAGCAGTGAGTTATAATAAAAAGACTGGTGACTGAATTGGGGAAGTCCTACACATACCTCCCTTAGAGTTGCCCAGGCATTTTTGCACTTGCCATGTTCCAGGCGTTGTGTCAGGAAGAAAAAGGTAACTGAAGTAGTTAAGGAGAAAAGGGATACAAAAAGACATCTGAAAGGAATGGCAGGACCTAGCAGCCAACTAGAGATTGGGGATGAAGGGGAAGAAGAAATCAAGAGGGCCTCTAACGTTTCAAGCCTAGGAGACAGCATGCTCATGCCCTGAGTAGAGAAATAAGAAACCTAGAGGGACCCTAGCACCTAGGAAAACGAAACAGTTGTCTGCACACTGAATAAAGATCTCAAAGTCTGAGTGAAGGGAACTCCTGTCTGTAAGAAGAGACGCCACTCGGATAATTTTAGAGTTCTTTGAAACCCATTCCAAGGGACATGGGGTTTATTCAATACTCTTCTCTTCTGTTCTTTTAATATTTTAGATTTGGGGCACCCTGACGTCTTGATTTTCCAAATCAAAATTGTGTAGTTCTGCCTTTTATTTCAGAAAACACTTTATGAATCTGGAAAAGTTCCTGGATCACTGCAAAAACTCCCAGCTTTCATGACTAGTTTCTAGACCATCCTATTCTCAGTCAGTGGCTAACAGCTAAAGTTCTGTGCATTTAAATAATGGTATCATGTTGATAGACTACATCATAATGGAGAGAGAAAGGTCACTGGTGAAATCACTTTGTTCATTTTTGGGGTTTTTATTTTGCAAGTAAAGCTTCAGGGTGACAAACATTCTGTGAAATCATTAAAGCTAGATATATACCAAGAAGGTAAAAAAAAGGGAAAGAAAAAAAAATCACAAACCACCAGCAACCTGGTTAATTGCTGAGAATTCAAACTGAGAGAATTATTCACGATGACAGAGAGCCATTATCTCAGTGTCCCCTGGCTGCTCCTGCATCCCCAACCTCATCTGTATTCCCCAGGGGAAGAGCAGCAGTGAACAGAAATGTGTTATGTGGGAAGTTATTCAGATGGCTCACAAATGGAAGCCTGGTGGCAAGAGAAAAGCAGGAGCAGTATGCAGTAAGAACGGTTTAAAAAGCAGTACTTAAGAGGAGAGGGATTTTCTTTCTCACTCTGGAAAAAAAATGTGGAGGTGCAAATGGAAAACAGAATTTGAAAGCAACTGTGCATAGGAGTCACTCCTTTCAGTTGCAGTATTTGGGGCTTTCTGCCTATGTCCCATATCAGAACAAGAAGTCTGGGAAACAATGAGCATAGTTAAAACTAGGGGTCACATGACGGGCCAAAGTTCTCTGGGCCTCCCAGATCTCACCTGCAGCCTCTCCTGAGATTTTCCATAGCAAGTGCTCAATAAATAATGTCTGCAGGAACCAGTCAGTTATAATATTCAATAACCAACTGCCAAAACCTGGGTGTCCTATGAATAAACTGCCATTCACTAGACAGAGTAAAAGTTTTCTCATTCAAATGTTTGATGCAATGGAGAATGCAAGTCAGTTAAAGCATTTTAATCAGCTAAACATTACTTCACATCTCAGTAGTTTGCTAAGAACTTTTAGCCAATATCATCCACTGTATGTAATCTTCACACTGTCCATGATATTCCATTTTATGAATGAGAAACACTAAAGCTCAGAGTGGTTAAGGAATTTAAATCCTGACAATATCAGTTGGTTTAGCTTACTCTGGGGTTGTGCTCATTTAATCCTCACACTTCCCCAAAAGCACGTCCTTTTATTGCCTCCATCAAGCAGATGAGAAATTGAGGCTCAAAGAGTTTTAGGTAATGAGCTCAAATTCTCAAGGCTAAGCAGTCACACAGTCAGTCAAGATGGGAACCGATCCTGGCAGTCTGGCCCCAGGGCCCACAGAGAACTCCTGAGGAGGGAAAGTAACAACTAGAAAGTGGGCATTTTGATTCAGAAGGCCTTGCTCTTCTCACACACCAAGCTGAGTGAAGTAGGTGGTTTCCTTCCTCTCTTCCTCCTCATCCCAAGTTCCCTCACTGACCTACTCCTCCCACGCCAGGATAAGAACAGTGGCCGGCCCCCGATTTCATCTGCATTGACGCTATCTCAGGGACTGTACAGTAATCCAACCCTCCACTCAAGAGACAGGTCTACACTCAAGAAACAGGTTTAGTCTTATAATTGTTTTTTGTTTTGTTTTGTTTTTACCAAAAGTTTACTTTCAATTCAGGGAACAGGACTGGTCTTTCTAATGTCAATAGAAAGATAGCTTTGTTTCTTAATGGTCAATAATTGTCTAAATGAACAGCTGTATTTTTATTAAGTAAAAGAGATTTGGAAAACCACACAATGGCCCTAATCTTAAAATTATTCCTACACTATATGTTGTACTGTCACCACTTTAAAAATCCACCCAACAAAATTTAGTCTTATTCCAGGTCTGCATAATTCCAGAAAGAAACCGTTCAAAAACACACATTTATGGATGGAGAGCTAATTCTAAAATAGGTATCAACCAGAACTGCCTTTTTCGGCACTGCTCCAGATACCTGAAATATATACATCAAAACCATCTGCACTCCGGAATGGGGCCACTGCTATAAGCAGTATTATTCTTAGAGTTACAAAAATTGGAGCTATCTATAAAATTTGCTCTATGGTTTTTTATTGAAAACAGCCTGAGACAAAATGTTCTTGTATGCATCTTCATAATAATCAAAATAGGATAAAGTGACAACTACCTTTGGAAAGTAGCAAAGGAAAAGGTAAAATAGCAGAACAGAAAAGTATGGTTGGTGCATGTCTGCTACATTCCACACTGTAATTTAACTGCTATGTGCCATGTAATTTAATAGTGTGGTAAGCATAAATCTATATACCAACTGCAATGATGAAATGGCTGACAAAATTCTGACATACCTTTATTTGTTTCTCCATGGAAAGCCCATTTGGCAAAGACAGTTAGTAGTAAATACTTCTAATTCTTACAAACAAGGCTTGGCTCACATTAGATAAATAACATTCTCTATAACTTAAGGTGTTTTATATTTTATTTTTTTTAGAGTTCCACCCTGTTCTATTGAGGTATAACTGTCAACTGAAAATTATATTAGTTAAAATATATTGCATAATGTTATTGCAAGGTTTTTTATAATCTCAAAAAACAGGGGAAGAACCAACATGACTCCTTTAGTCTCTTCAAACTTTAATATTAATCCACATAGTCAAAAAATAATATACCCAAAATCATGTATAAATAAATTATTTGGGAATTAATCATGTTAAATGCAAAAAGAAAATATAGATAACTATGGTGGATTCTTCAGAAGTTTAAAATGTCTTGCAAGATGATTAATGATCCCCCACCCCTTGTTCATTTCTGTGAAGCCAGCCTTTTCTTTGGGTTGCTTAAAACAGGCACATCAACCCTGTCAAGCAGCAAACGCCTTTTTAATTAATTAATTAATTTACTAGAGGCCTGGTGCATGAAATTTGTGCACGGGTAGGGTCCTTGGGCCTGGCCGGCGATCAGGGCCTATAGGGGCCTCCTGGCTGCCATCTGCGGCCTCCCTTCCCCGGCTGCCAGCTGCTGGCCTGGGCCTTCCTTCGTTCTGCGCCACCCCAGGGTGATCCACACATGTCACAGCAAATGATCCAACTCCCAGTCTCTGGGTCGAACTCCCAAGAGGACACTTTGCATATTAGCCTTTTATATATATAGACTGTCTAAAGTTTTACATATGTCTCCTTTTTCCCTGATTGGCCCCCCTGCAGCCATTCCCACCCCCAATGCCCCAGTGTCTGTGTCCATTGGTTATGTTAATATACATGTACACAAGTCCTTTGGTTGCTCTCTAAAACCCGCGCCCTGCCATTTGTCTCTGGATCTATCGTTGTTCATCAAATTATGTTGATCCTTATATCCCACATATGAGTGAGATCATGTGATATTTATCTTTCACTTCCTGGCTTATTTCACTTAGCATAATGCTCTCCAGTTCCATCCATACTGTTGTAAATGGTAAAAGTTCCTTCTTTTTTATAGCAGTGTAGTATTTCATTGTGTAGATGTACCACAGTTTTTTAATCCACTCATCTTCTGATGGGCACTTAGGTTGTCTCCAAATCTTAGCTATTGTAAACTGGAGCAGCAGACACCTTTACACTACTCAGCTGCAGGAAAAGATGGTGGCACACTTTTGATTTTTATAAATCAATAGACATTTTTGCTTTGTGTATAAGCAGAATGTATTTGTTCTTTAAAAATATTTTTTAAATCATAAAAATGAGGGCGTTCTTTAGAGTATGTGAGTGAGTGAAAGAACACAAATAGATCATATAAGGGAACAGATTTTAGGAATATAGAGAAAATGAGCTTGGGAAATTTAGATTTGCTAACATCAAGAGTAAATCTGAATCCTTGTCAAACTTCAAAAGAATAACTCAGATTTCAAGGATTTCTTTTCTCCCTTACAAAAAGAAATAGTAATACTTTTATTGATTATTTGAACAACCACATCCAAAAATCATAATGAATTCAATCACACATGATTCCTTTCTCTAGGTGCTATAATATTATATAATACATTATGCATTTTTCTCAGGCTATAATTTTGGCATTTAATGAAACTAAACAGATTGCCTTAGTGTTGCTATGGGAACATTTATCAGATGGGAAGGGGCTGGAACATTTATCAGATGGAAAGAATTCGTTAGCTCTAGAAGACTGGAAGTCCCAAGAATCATTTAAATATAGAGATTAAGAAAAAAAAAGCTCAGTTGACAATTTGGTTACACAATCTAAAATTTCTTTTAACGCATAATGTTGGAAGCTGTGTAGATCCTGCAATCCTTGGTAAAGGCTTCTGAACAAACTCAAATACAGTTGCAAATTTCTGAAGACTCTAGGAAAAGGAACAGATGGAGTTCGAATGTAAGAGAAAACTCAGTTGCTCCCAAAAGAACAGAGGAGCCAGTGTCTTCACCAGCACACCATAATAGGAGTTGCTCTGAAGCAGGCATAAGGATATTTTTTTACAGGCAGAAGTCTGTAAATGACTTGCTATACATGCATTCTGCAGGAAAATTCTACCCTTGCAGTCCTCATTTGTTAAAAAATAAAAAGTGAAATATATCAGTTAGCTAAACAACTGATTTCTACTCTTTTGACGGTTTGTAGAAAATAAACCCTCTCTTTGACCCTTGAAAATTACTTGCTGTCAGTCATCCACTCAAATGAGTGGCATTCCCAGGGACACATGCATGTACCCAATTATATACACAGCTTATAATGTCTTGGCCATGAGATTAAAATTTCTCACAAGCAAATTTTTCTAAACTTAATTTAATTTTTAAAGAATATATTTTTATTTATTTCAGAGAGGAAGGAAGAGGGAGAGAGATAGAAACATCAGTGATGAGAGAGAATCATTGATCAGCTGCTTCCTGCATGCCCCTCCAGTCTGCAACTGGGGCATGTACCCTGACCAGGAATTGAACTGTGACCTCCTGGTTCATAGGTGGACATTCAATCACTGAGCCATGCTGGCTGGGCTCTCACAAGCAAATCTGATGCACCTTCTCCTCTTCAGAATGTCTAGTTAGCTTTTACTTCTTCCTTTAGAAAATGGGCATGCCTTTGACAAACTTTATCTGTCTGCAGTCCTTACAACTCCCTTCTGTACTCTCCCCTGTATTCAGGGGCTAGAACCTTGGAAACTACATTTCCCAGAATCCTTTGGCATTTGGGTTCTGAATAATGCTTAGTTTCAGCTAATGAAAGGTACTCATGTAATATTAAATGTAAAGGAGGGTAGAAATCATTCTTAGCCCCCACACCTGACATGGCCACTTCTGTGGGCTTTGCCAAATACTTTCCTAGTGACTGACAATTCCATGTTCCATTATTAGTGACCAGTAGAGGGGCCATGGAGCAGTTTTAACTTAGTCAGGGTTTCTCTTCATTTGTGGATAGCAGCTGTGGCTTCCTGCGTGCTTGTTCACAATTTGTAGTGCAGTGAGCAATGACAACAACAAAACACTTCTGACTGATACTCTACCCCGTTCCACAATTGTGTGGGTACTTAATTCATGATTTTAAATTCCTTCTCAGTTAGAAATATCAAGCATTTCCATTTTCTATCCAGAACCCTTTCACCCAAGAAAAAGAAGCAATTTAGATCTATCCAATTTCAGAATATTCATTAGTCCACAAGTCAAGGTCATGGGGTTTTGAAAGTGACCCCACAAAATCTTGTAGCCTGAACATGGTGGTCTCTGCCGTTGTTTGGCAGAAGCTTTAAAGAGGACAGGTCATTATTCTCTTGTCCTTTTTTATCCCCACCCTTTCTACAGGGCTGAAGTCACCTTCTGGTCAAGATGTGTTAATTCTCATTCTTATTCTCCCTCTCCTCCTCTCATTTCTCCCTGTAGTTTGGAAAGGCCTGGGCCGGGTCATGGAAGCACAACTCTGGGTGTTGAGATACACATTTTGTTCCCCATTCCCTTCCTTTTTCTGGTTTGTCTCTGGATAAATATACTGCAGTTTAAATCTTCTGGATGAATTTAGGAGTAGAAGTAGGTAAAGCAGTTCTTCCCTTGTTTTTAAGTCTGCTTGAGAGGACCACAGAAGAGTCTTCCCTTTGATCAGCCTAGCTCTTCAGGCACTGCACCGAGGTGTAGGGCCAAAGGCTCAGCCAGTACCTATCTATCATAAATGATTAGATTTCTCTCCTATTGCAGGGAAACCTGGCAGATGAGAGAACTCGTGTATTTCTAATGCCACATCCAGCCCATCATTCTCTCCAGTGAAACTCATGTCCACTGAAACTCATTTTGACACACCTGAGAGAAAATATTAAGATGCTGTGTTTTTATATGTAGCGTTTTTATATTATACTAGAAGCCCATTGCATGAAGATTCATGCACTAGGTCTTCCTTCCCATGACTGCCAGCACTGGGTTTCCTCCGGCACCCAGGACCCAGGCCTTTGGTCCGGCCACAGCGGCGAAGCCAAGCCTCTTCAGTCTTCAGTCCAGCCAGAGCCTTGTGTCTTCGCTCCATGTATGCAAATTAACCGCCATCTTTGTTGCGTTAATTTGCATACTCATCTGATTGGCTGGTGGGCATAGCAGAGTGACACCAATTTGCATGTTTCTCTTTTATTAGTGTAGATGCTGTGTTTTTATATTTCTATATATATAAAAGCCTAAGTGACCGAACGACTAAACAACCAGTCAACTGGTCGCTATGACGCGTGCTGAAAACCATGCTCACTGAAATCTTTCTCCTAAACATTTCAGATTATGGACTCAACAATGGGGAATAATGTCATCTGTTAGGCTGTAAGCGCCCAGCCTGTTTTGTCTTCCAGACAGAAAGTATAGTGTCAGTCACCAGTGACTGACTGGGTCCTTAACGTGTTAATGTAGTAAATATTTCTCCTCTACACAAATAGTAAAATATTTGCTATGTCAATTTGTCATCAATGCAATCTTTGAGACAGCCACAGAAACAAGAACCCAATATCAATCCTTAAACATGCTTCATGCAATCCTTATCCTTTTATCCAGTCAGGTATAATTCTTAACTTTTTATAATTTGATATTAAACCCTTTGTCCTATTGCTTTATCTCAAAATGAGAAGAAAAATCCTTGCACATCTGAAACCGCTTTCTTCTTTGATATAGCTGTACTGTTTAAACTGGCCAAATATTATGAAACACATAGTATATGCGTACATCAACAAAATTTACTCACTCTCAAGATGAGTGGCCATACTCAAGCACATAGCAACTGGTTGTAAGTCAAATGAAAGGAATTTATCAAGTTATATACACTCAGACTGGCAACAGCTTTTTTTGGTAGTGACACAAGGCAAAATGTACATACATAAGTTTTCCTAAATAAAAACAACACAACAAAGTCTTATTTAACTTATTCCTAAGTTAAATAAGACTCATCTCACCTGGTTAATTAAGAGAATGGTGGCAGGATGACATAATGATGGAACAAACAACAGATGCAAAATTAGTTAAGTAAAATTTCAAAACATAAGGGGGTGATAAAAATACAACTGGGTAGAAGCTGGCATATTCATTTGTCAGATTTCAAAATGATGAACTTGAGTCTGCATACATATTCTGACTTGAGTATTTTAGGATGAGACACATACAACAACCATTTATAAAAATGAAGGAAGTGCTCCTCAATAAAGAAATTCTTCTGCTACAGTCAACCAACATCAACATATTCTCTTCCAAACTCAGTATAATTTCAGCAGTAAGATTTTCCTTTCACCTTAACCAATTGTTAACTTTTCTTTTTAAAAAAATTTTAATTGATTTTAGAGAGAGGAAGGGAGGGAGAGACAGAGAGAGAGAGAAACATCGATGTGAGAGAGAGAAATCGATCGGCGCCCTCCTACATGTGCCTGACCAAGGGGTCGACCCTGAAACCTGGATATGCACCCTGACGGGGACTTGAACCTGCCACCTTTTGGTGTATGAGATGACATTCCAATCAACTGAGCCATACCAGCCAGGGAAATTATTAGCTTTTCTCAAGTACACAAGTCAACAGTGTCTCTCTCATAACCCATTTTTGTGCCAAAGTAGCATACAATTGCCCTACTGGAACAGTACATTGTACCATGCTCCAACCCAACAAAGTAGATTTTCATCATGCAAAATTTAGCCTCAATACAGACATTCCACATTTGTTTATTTTAGCCAATTCCTATTGTTTCTT